ACGGGCCGTTTTAACCTGTATGAATGAGTGCCAAAGGGCACCTAGACTGGCAACGGGCTGTTTTAACCAGTGTAAATGAGTGCCAGACTGTTTTAACCGGTGCGCATGAGTGATGAAAAGCACCTAGCCCTGCACACGGGCTGTTTTAACCAGTGTGAATGGTTGCTGTTCAACCCGTGCGAATGATTGTCTCACTGAAGTTAACTCCATGATGGGTTAATGTACATTATGTGCACACCAAGCCCAGATGGGAGCTTAATTACTTCTATTATGGGCAGCTGGGTGGCAGGGGCATCATGGAATGAATGTAGGTTTGTTTTTTTGTTTTTCTTTTAAATACCCTGGACGGCCAGAATAATTCTGCGCTAATTGTAGTGGCATTGCCCTCTAATCTGATATGGATTTGTCACCCTAATTGATGGCGGTGTAAATACAGCTTACTGTATTGTAATGTCTTATTTATAGTAAAGAGGAATTTCCCAGTGATGCCTGGCTTGGTGGCCTACGTTGCTCATGATCATGATAATGTTCGTGTTCATTCTAAGTACTTATCAAGCTCATTGCACATGTTCTCATGTCATGCCTGCATGCTGAAGCTGTGACTAGCAGAAAAGTCCCATCAACACAATCTGTCTTTGGCATCCATCATTCAACACATGATTTCTCGTTTTAAAGTCTTGAGCATCATATTCAAAAACATCTTTAAATGATTAACATCATCTCCCTTTTCTGAACTCTCTCTATGACCTTCATTCTAGCTCATCCACATTTCTTTCCCTTCCTTTCCATCAACACCTTACTATATGGGTTCAACCTCAAATAATAAGGTGTTTAATCCATTTGCTTCAAACATTGACGGTAGTGATCCTTCACTGTCATATGATGATTATCAAAAACTAAGAGACACATGCACATTTTAGTTACCTGAAAAGGTCAAAACTGTTATTCCACATAACATCAGGGTACTAAACCTTATGTATATGAACATTCGCTCAATCCTGAAGAGGCAGGATGATTTAAGTAGTGTGCTTGCCCAGACTGATATAACATGACATTTAATTTCTATAACTGAAACATGGCTGTCTGCAGCTTTGGAATCTCATTATGACTTACCTGGATACCAGGCTTTTTACTGCAGTTGATCAAAAGGGGTAGGTGGTGGATCGGCAGTATACATTGCTGATCATCTTCATCCTATACAACTTAGCAATCCGTTTTTATCTACAGCTGAAGTGGTTTGTGCTGAACTGCTGTGTGATAATGCTATATTATCATTTGCCAAATTTATAGGTCACCCGACACTGACAAACACCACTTCAACTCAGAGCTAGAGCAATGCCTAATTTGGCTTCAAAAATAACAGAGTAACATTTATTACTGGCCATTTCAACTTTGATCTGTTCTCACTTGATAGCAATCCTAATGTGCAAGGATTTGTCATTAACATGTGTTCAAATGGCTTTTTTCCTACAATATCCAGGACAACTCGATCTTGCTATTCATCATGTACTCTTCTAGATAACATATTTTGCAATGTTTTATCAAAAGTGATGCATACAGGCATCCTCCTTCATGAATTGTCTAACCATTTCCCCATTTTTGCTTCAATGAACTATGCCTCATGCACACACTCCCCTGATGTTAGAACACCTATTGCCACACTTGATTACAGAAGGCTGGAAGAATTTAAACAATTCTTTGTTGATCACCGTGATATTGAAAATGAGCCAAAACCTGATGCTATTGCAAATCAAATTGTGAATGTTTACGATGCTGGGATCACCAGGTTTTCTTACACAAGGCACATTTCTCGAAAAAACCAGCTCACGCAAACCATGGGTGTCACCTGCACTTCTTCTATCAATTACACATAAAAGTAAGCTATTCGAAAAGAAATTGAAGCACCCCAGTCCCAAAATAATGCAAAATACACTTCCTACCGTAACATTCTATGTACACCTCTAAGACTAGCCAAAAAAAAAACAAAGTGAAGAGTTCACTAAACATTCTGGGAACTCCAAGGAAGCATGGAAAACATTACACACTCTCATAAATTAAAAACAAAAAAGGATGCAGATCCAGCCAGGATTATTGGGGCTAATGATAAGATCATCACAGACGATCCGGATATCGCAGAATAATTTAACCACTTATTCACTGAGATTGGACAACAGCTAGAAGACAAGGTTCCTAAATTATCATTCGACTCCCTCCAGCTCATCACAAATGTAGAAAATGAAAGGGATCTGAATCTGATGGTGGGAACTAGAAGAGTAAAGGTAGATTCTATATTTTTCGTGTTTCTGTAACTATCAATCTGTCCCGGAGACAGATTAACACGGCGCCCGCTGTCTGGTGGGACTTGCAGTGGCCGACGCCGTTTGGTTTTACGGAAGCTGCAGCCCAGACCATCGCTGTTCTTGCTCTCGAGGTTGCGAGCGGGGCATGTTCAAACCTTTTGATGCACTTTTTCAGCAATCCATTCTAAAAAAATTAAACGTCCTTAGGCAAACATGAGATGACCCTGTTCGTTTTTTATAAAAAAATTAATTTCGACCTTCTCTGTTCAACAATAATGAGACCTCCACTCTACTCAACAATAATCAGGCCCCGCATATCCTTCCGGGCAAAGGGCCCCTTGAGAAGACCATCGGGGGCACATTGCCGGTTCCGGTCAAGAGCTAAAAGGCTACTCCGTCTCATCGCGAAGCGTATTCTGGCTGTCATTCTACCAGCACAAGGTGGAATCTCCTGGTCGATCCGGAGATCATTTAAAGGATATATCAGATCATATTGTTCCCCTCCCTGACATGGCAAGTCTTCTGACCCACGCAGTTTGCCCCGGATCAGCACATAAACCGTCATTGACGCAACAACATCCCTGATCGCAAAAGGTGGTCCAATAATTGTCACACAGGCTCCAATAACTTGTTTTTCTGTTTTCTTCAGGGATATTGAGCAGTCCCTGAACGTAGATTGTAGATGAAATGGGGTTCCAAGCTTGTATTAACATAGCTAATCCATTTTCGCCCTAAAATGTTAAAGATTCGGTCAGAACTGATTACTGAAGAAAGCTACGTAGTATGGTTTTGAGCATACGTGCTCGCAAGTCGTAGCAACAACAGCCTGAACGCACGGTCTTGCGGTCTCCATAGGCCGCGTGGCGTCGGCCTGCGGTTGTGACACTAAGCAATGGCCAATAAGCCAACGAAAAAATGACACATCTTGAGAAAGTTGGCTGGTGGATTAGGTAAATCGGCATGTTTATTTAAATGCGATGCAAAATTAAACTAAACACAACCTTTATCTGAAATTTGAGGGGGGGGGCAATTAACACTGCTGGCCCACCCACCTTGAAAAGTGTGTGTGGGGGGGGGGGGGCACGCCCCCCCCCCACCCTGTTCCTACGCTCATGGTTGGAAGGAATGAAAGTTGGAAGGAGTGAACGTTGGAGGGAGTGCACGTTGTAAGAGGATAGTGTGGAAGATGGGGAGGGAGGAAGGGCTGGAAGGAGAAAGAAGGGAGCGAGGGAGCAAGCTCTTGGAACAGTTGGGAGTAGGGGGAGGGGGAAAGGGACTCAAGGAGGACGACAAGAAAGGAGGAAGAGAGGAGAGGTTAGTGCTCAGGGTGAGTGTGGGGTCTAGAGCACCAATGACACACACAAGCGCAGCAGCAAACCGGCAGGAGGGAAGCGGTCACTTGACAATCGTTTGTGCCAACATAAAAGAAGAAAAACATAATATTTCAGAAAAGAAGTGGGCGAAACGACAGGAGCACCATATAAAAGCGCGAGTGCGGCGGAACAAAAGATCCAGGGAGGGACAGCGGGAAAGCATGCTGAGGTAGAAAGCAGGATTGGCAAGAAAGCAAGCGGCCGAGAAAGTCAGCGGGAGAGCAGAGCTAGGGAGTTCAGGCGGAGCAACGGAGCGCGCGAAAGGGCTGGTGGCAACAGAGAGAGAGCGACCGGCCAGGAGCGGCCAAGCGACCGCCGCTTCGATTCCAGTGGGCAGACTAAACTCTCTGCAGCCACTGGCAGCGTCCTTGGCAGAACGCCCCCAGCAGAGACGAGAACCAGCCGGTATTGTTGTGTCGGATATTGATGGCCGCGCGCCAGATACTGCGCGCAGTGGGCCGAAGCTGGCCCACCTATTGGAGCTGCCGGCCTGTGAGATATGGATGGCGTGTCGCCGGGGCAGGTTCCGTCCAACGTCATGGCGCGGCTGGGATAGCGACCAGCTGCCGGATAGGGACCGGTTGCCGCGGACCGGAAGACACTGTTGGAGATCCTTAGACATTGTTTGGGATACTTAGGCGTAGTTGTGGATCCATATTTCGGCGTTGTGTGGGGATTCCTAGGTGTTGCTGTAGATCCTTGGACACTGTTGGTGTCCAAGGATCTATCAGGATCTTATCGCGTTTGCGATGAGTTGCTGATGAGCTTCTGTTAGCTATTCTGAGAGGTGGTGGAAGAATCAGAGCCACAAATCTAAGGCTGTTAGGTAAAAGGCTGTTCGGGGGGGGGGGGAGGAGAGGGGGAGGGAGACAGGGACGAACTCATTTCCAGGGGTACCTAGTAATGAGTTCGTCCCAGTGCGCCACTTTGCGACACCGTAGTGTCACGCAGTAGTGTCACCGTACACTTTATGAAGTTATCCGCAAGCACCATGATGTAGTGACATGGTAGCGGAATGTCACCGGCAACACCGATGGCTGGAGTTCTCTTCCGACACTGTGAAGGACGCGGCGTGATGTCACTGGCAACACCGATGGCTGTAGTTCTCTTCCGGTACTGTGAAGGACGTGGCACGATGTCACTGGCAACGCCGATGGGTGTAGTTCTCTTCCCGCACCGTGAAGGACGTGGCGTAATGTCAACGGCAACATCGAAGGCTGTAGTTCTCTTCCGGTGCTGTGAAGGACGTGGCGCAGCACACCGTCGTCACCGTAATCGAGTGAACAATCAAAGCAACTTTGCATAACCTCTAACCATCTCTCACCAGGGGGAGCTGGTGCGTCTTCTCAAAGTCCGAGACTTTGATCACCACCAGCGCCCGGAGCACTACGAGTTTGAGCTGATCGGGGACGTGCGTGACGTGTTCGAGCTCCGGCCGGGCAGCTTCTACCTGGGCAACTATTCTGCCGCCCAGGAGAGCGACTGGGAGACGCTCTTCTACACCGGTGAGAGCGACTGGGGGACACTCCTCTACACCGGTGAGAAGTGCCAGCGATCCGCTGGTTGGCGGCACAGACGTCGCAGCGAGGCTATGGCATGCACACCTGCCAGCCACACAAGTGTTCGTGGAGAACTTGTTTCGGCCCTCTGTGCTCTAGCTCGTCCCACTACAGTGGTTGTGGGAGATTCACATGCTAATGAGCTTAACAGTTGACTGGTTCGTCGGATACGTCAGACATCAGAGTTGTTCAGTTGGTGAAACTGTTGCCTGCCTAACACGCACCGCCTTGTGACGAAAAAGCCAACTCAGCTATCTTGTTTGCCCCGTACTTGGTTTAGTTGGCTTGTTAATCACTGGCTCGAGTACTATCCTGACGCGTTTTAACGACATGTGCATCGCCCCTCAATATGGCTGACAAGATTTGTGACTGGACCGGAACTCAAATGTTCCTGCTTGTCTGACTCTGGCATCGTTTGACCCTGGTATCGTCTGACCATGATATCGTCTGACCCTGGTGTCGTCTGACCCTGGTATCGTCTGACTCTGGTATCGTCTGATCCTGGTATCGTCTGACCCTAGTGTCGTCTGACCGTGGCATCGTTTGACCCTGGCATCGCCTGACCTTGGTAATTTTCTGGTCATGCGTGAACACGCAGTACAGCAGGAGCCGTACACGTATGGCCCTTCTCGGTGCCACGGATTATTTCCACTTTTACTCTAGTCACCTTGTGTGAATTGCAGGGGAAATTAATCCCAATAATATTATATTTTGAATGCGGCAAGTGGCGTTCTTACAATAACTTTCCACTCCGGGTTTCGACCATTGAGCAGTTAAAAGCTTGTTTTAGCACAGTTTGCGCATATTTCATCCTGACGTCCTAGGCTTTACCAGCTTTCTTTTATTAACAAGCAGCCACATTCGGCCTTTTAAAACCATGCGTTGAATTTGATGTGTAATGCCAGGTGCCATGCTGCGGTAGGTACTTCCTAATGAAAATGAACATGAACAAGCCGTACAGCTGCTTGCGGCTCACTTCATCTTCACTAAGCTTCTCGCATTCCGGCGGGATCATAAGCTCCTTAGGACGGGAAGAGGCTGCCGACGAAATTTACCCGCCATAAGCTTGCCGGAGTTCTGACATAGTAGCCCGTCTGGGCGGTGGCGCCAAATATAATATGTAAGCCGAGTCGAACAGCTCAGCACAGCACGGGGGCCGGGATGCCTTCCGTCCCCGCATACAAACACAACCCAGCATGCAAACACAACCCAGCATGCGAGTACAACCCAGCATACAAACACAACCCAGCACGCAAACACAACACAACATTCAAACACGACCCAGCATGCAAACACAACACAGCATTCGAACACAACCCAGCATACAAACACAGCACAGCACTCAAACACAGCGCAGCATACAAACACAACCCAGCATACAAACACAACATAACATACAAACACAACACAGCATTCAAACACAACGCAGCATGCAAATGCACCCTAGCATACAAAGACAATTCAGCATCCAAGCACAACCCAACATTCAAGCACAACCCAGCATACAAATACAACCCGGCATACAGAGACAACCCAGCATGCAAACACAATCCAACACACAAAGAAAACCCAGCATGCAAACACAACCCAACATACAAATACAATCCAGCATGCAAACACAACCCAACATAACCCAACACAACCCAACACAACTCAGCATACAAACACAGCCATCTTTTATCTGTCGGCTGACCCGCCCCAGAAAACACACACAGTCATGTCACATGTGTGGGCTTGCCCGTCCGAGATAACACACACAGTCATGTCACATATGTCGGCTGGCCCGTCCCAGATTCCACCCACAGCCATGTCACATATGTCGGCTGGTCCGTCCCAGATTCCACCCACAGCCATGTCACATATGTTGGCTGGCCCGTCCCAGATTCCACCCACAGCCATGTCACATATGTCGGCTGGCCCGTCCCAGATTCCACCCACAGCCATGTCACATGTGTCAGCTGACCCGTCCCAGATTACACACACAGCCATGCCACATATGTCGGCTGGCCTGTCCCAGATTCCACCAACAGCCATGTCACATATTTCGGCCGGCCCGTCCCAGATTCTACCCACAGCCATGTCACATATGTCGGTTGACCCGTCCCAAATTACACATACAGCCATGCCACATATGTCGGCTGACGTAGCATGCATTGAGGCAGCTGGACCACCAGCATGCGCCCGTCTTCTCATCAAGCGCAACTGTCTCCCGCTATAAAGCCTGCTGCGGGAACGATGCCTCTTCAGGAAAGCCATTCGCCGGGATTACCACGGCTGTTTTTGGAGCTTGCGCTGGCGAAGAGCCGGTGAATTCGAGCGCTCCGTGTTTGGTTAAACGGGGTCGATGCTACTCTATGGCCCCTAGATTGCGGCGACTCTTGCTGAGAAATGATGCAACGCAGGCAAACCCCGCTGATACAGGCGATAGGTTACAACTGTGTTATGCAAATTTCGTGTCTATAAGGTCACAGCTAATGTACATGTTGGGACCTACAAAAGAACATGTTTCGCTTCTCGTGTGAGGAATTTTCGCTACTGCAAGTTAAACTTCTTCTGTGTTGTATCTTGTGCGAATCCTCCAAAGAGAATGGTGCAAATAGCAGAGACCTCACAGCTCGCACATATTTTTATGGACTTGAGGTACTGTTGAAAATCCTCCTGCGCCTATCCTGGAGTTTTTAACCGGAAAACGGAACCTATGTAAGCCGGCGTTCACAACCAATGAATAGGGTCGCTTTCTCCCCGTTGTCCCATCATTATGGCAAAGGAACTTGTGTACTTACGGTCAGAAAAGCAGTGAAATGGAGACCATGCGCCATAAACCATAATGTTTATGATTGGCATGATGATGGCCATACTGATGATGAGTAACCACGCAGTACTCCACGCCAGATATGCCGATGACGGTGGTGGTCTGTGATGGCAGAGCTCGTCTACAAGCAAAGTATGGATCCATACATCATGCTCGGACAGGAATACAACTACTCCATCAAGGTGCAGTTCAAGGACGCCGCTCTTCACCCAGCCTTTGGCAATGACTCGGTGAGTGGAGCTCATGCGTAGTGCACGTGGTCATAATCTCATGCTTAAGGCAGCAAGACCTGAAGCTAGTAATAACCATATCCAGTCAGAACATGGCCTTCCTGGCGATGCTTGGTTGATAAAATAAAAATACGTTTGTCATATCACTAAGTGCATTTGTACTGGAGAGATGGTGTGGAAGAAAATTGGTATGAAGACGAGGTTTCTTACACCGCAGCACTATTTCGTTGGCCCTTCTTGCTGCGGCCAAGCCCGCCCTGCAGCCGTGGGTTGGTGCCTTGCTGTGGCCAAGCTCGCCTTGTCGTGGCCAAGCCCGCCTTGCTGTGACAAAGCCCGCCTTGCTGTGGGTGGGTTGATGTCTTGCCCAGACCAAACCAGTTCTGCGGCCGTGGGTTGGCGCATTGCTGTGGCCAAGCCCATCCTGTAGCCAAGCCCGCGCTGTGACTACCCTGTTGTTGCCGTTACCCGATCTGTTACAGCACATGTGTTTGTATGTGACTTATATGTGGCATCTAATCTTCCGCATCCAGCGTCTTATTCGTGTGCTGCTGGGCGGGGTAACGTCGAAGATCGGGTCAGGTCAGCACAGGCAGATACAGGTCAGCCGGGTCGGGCCAACGCAGTTGGGTCTGCCAGATAGATGATCAAACATATGCTGATATGTAGATGCCGACAGTGGATAGATCTCCGATAGACGCTGCGGACACATACTGCGGTTATTCACACTCCGCCGGCAAATCTAGCGAGGACTCAGCCATGCCATGGTCACGTTCAGCAAAAAAGCAAAACAAAAAACAACAACAACAAAAATCCGCAACATGGAGTTCCCTCCAGGTCGGACGTTTAGGGATAATAGTGCTCTCTGAGGCCGTGTTTGTGCGCTGCTCTCGCTGCTGGCGTTTGACACGCCCCTGACGTGATAGTGCTCTCTGAGGCCGTGTTTGTGCGCTGCCTTCGCTGCTGGCGTTTGATACGCCCCTGACGTGATAGTGCTCTCTGAGGCCGTGTTTGTGCGCTGCCTTCGCTGCTGGCGTTTGATGCGCCCCTGACGTGATAGTGCTCTCTGAGGCCGTGTTTGTGCGCTGCCTTCGCTGCTGGCGCTTGATACGCCCCTGACGTGATAGTGCTCTCTGAGGCCGTGTTTGTGCGCTGCTCTCGCTGCTGGCGTTTGACACGCCCCTGACGTGATAGTGCTCTCTGAGGCCGTGTTTGTGCGCTGCCTTCGCTGCTGGCGCTTGATACGCCCCTGACGTGACAGGCCGAGCCAAAGTCTGCGCCGCATGAGGTAAATCCAAGGGGGAGGCAAATACGAAAGTCACGGGTCGTTAGCCCACTGGGTCGGTGCCAGCGGGGGGGGGGGGGGGGGGAGGGGAGGGGAGGGGTTCTCCGTGGTCCGACGTCCGTGCACAGCGGGCTTGAGGACCGCGTAGTCGTCCTGCTCCTACTCGGTGTTTGACGACTTGCGATTTGCGTTGGCTTCCACCTCGGTGTGTTGGTTTTTATGGGCGCGCCCATGTGTTGGCTTTTTCCTGCGATCATGTCAGACGCCGCTCGCTCCCATGCTTTCGATGATATTCGCTTGTTCGTTAATGTCCCTTCCAAGTGCCCTTCTTCTCCAACTGGTGGTATGCCAGGAAGCTACAGAGTAACGCTGCCATGCAAAATGCCGCACAGTCAGTTCCCAGCAAGGACCATGTAGGCTTGATTTACGTAATGCACTTAGGCGTAGGAACGTTTCAAAAAAGGGGCCAAGCTCAGGGTGTGCTTCAGGAACTTTTTCTGGAAAGCAAGCCCGGTGACTGGGGGGGGGGGGGGGGGAGGGGAGCGGTAGAAATGGAGGTTGTTATCGCCCTTTATTCAAATGTCATGGCTGCTATGCTAGATATGTATTTAGAACTGTTTCTTACCGGAGCACAATTTCGCCTGTTCGACCGCGAACGGGTAGGCATTTTGGGTCATTAAGGAGGCATCTGCCTTCCCAGGGTAGATGCCAAAATGCGGCCTGGACATAGGCTGGCGAGAATTTTGAAAGTGAATCGATGGCTCACAATGCGACAGATTTTTCACGTGACTTCACTTTGCTGGCTGCTTTTCAAGAAATGAAACTTGTCACAGCATTTAGGCGGAAAAATTCGGGTAGTTTCAAATCGCCAAAAACAAGGTGACAAAAACCATAAAACGCGGGATTTTCTTTAAAAAACCAAGCCACGTAATAAATTCCTGTCTTTCATGTTTCTTATCTGAGCCCTGTTCCCGTCCGCCGTCGGTGGCCACTGCCCTGGCCCGGCTGTCTCCCGCATGACTAACTGTGAACTGATCGTATAACTGCTTTATTGCATATTTCTAGATCAGTATTACTACTTATTGGTGTGTGAAGTGTATGTTAAACACCTGCAACAGTATCTTTTTCCGAAATGGCTTCCCTCACAGCACACCACCGCAGAAAAATAGCCTTCGGGAGTCTGCCGGCCTTAGGTATGAATTGGCCCCACGGACATTTCACTGCTCATCATTCAACGTAGACGAATTTCTAAACCGATAGAGCTCAGAAGCTTTGTCAGAATTTGTATGTGGGTTCTGCAGACGTTAAGGACATCGCGAAGGTAGATTAGATCGATATGTTTGATCAACATTTGAAAATGAAAAATTGATTGCAGATAGAGTGGTCAACAATGTGTATTAACGTGACCAAGCCATGTTTGTCTGGAAATATTCACCATTGAGTCAGAATCGAGAAGTGATATAATACTGTTACGCGGTCTTTTAACATGCGCGCTCGCAAATCTTAGCGACAAAACCTCCACACCAAGCGTTGCAGTCTCCATAGTCAGCGGAGCGTGAGCCCAGTGGCTGTTAGCCTTGGTCCACCAGTGGACGAAGATGATGATGCTTCTGAAATAGTTACCTTTAAACACTTAAATCAATCAGAAATACAAGTCATGTGATGTGGTTTTGAACATGCGTAGCAGAAAATCTTAAAAACAAAAAAAAATTGACTCCAGGCGTTGCAGTCTCCGCCTTCCATGCAGCATCGGCTCAACAATTAATACTCAGCTGCTGCTAACGATGGACGAATGGACGAAAATGATGACGCTTCTGAAAGAGGCACCTTTGAACGCTTTGTGACATCAAATCTTACATTTAGATGGCAGTCTGGACATATATTTCACATGTGTGATTTTTGGACTGATGATAAGAAAGGATTGGCCTTTAAAACACCGCGAACTGGTGCTGAAATCTGGTGTTGAACTGGAAGAGTAAATGTAGAAACTCTACTTTTTGCGTTTCTTTCACTATCAATATGTCCAGAAGACAGATAAACTCGGCGTCCGCCGTCTAGTGGCACTTGCAGTGACTGAAGCCGTTCGCTTTTGCGGAAGCTTCAACCCAGGCCGTCCTTATCCTGGCTCTCGAGGCTGCGGGCGGGCATGTTCAAACCTTTTGATGAAACCTATTTCACTAATCCATGTTGAAGAAATGAACGTTCTCAGGCAGACATGTGATGACTTTCTTCGCTTTTAACTAATTTCGACCCATTTTATTCAACAACAATGAGACTTCCCCTACTAAAAAATAATGAGACTCCTTATTTTCGGGCAAAGGGCCTCTTGAGTAGAACACCAGGGGTACATTACTGTTTCCGGTCAAGGGCTAAAGGGCCATTCCGTCCCGTCGCAAAGTGTTCTCCGGCTGTCAATCTGGCGACAGCGGGCAGGATTTCCTGGTCGATCCGGAGGACATAAGAAGGATATGTCATATCACATTGCTCCATTCCCTGACATAGGAGATCTTCCGGCCCGCGCAGTTGGCCCCAGTTCAGCACAGTAGCCCTTACTGAGTTAACAACATCCCTGATCACCACAGGTGGTTCAATAATTGTTACACAGAATCCAGTTCCATGTTTTTCTATGTTCTTCAGAAATATTGACGGCCCCCTGAACGTAGATTGTGGATTAGAGGGTGGTCCAAATTTGTATTAACATGGCTAATCGATACTCATCTTAAGATGTTTAAGATTCAGTCAGAATTGGTTACTGACAAAAACAATGTAAAATGGTTTTGAGCATGTGCACTCGCAGCGTCCATAGGCCGCACGTCATCGGCCTGCGGCTGTGACACTAAGCGATGGCCAATGAGCAAACAAAAAAGATGACACATCTTGAGAGAGATGGCTGGTAAAATATGTAACCCGTCATGTACGCGTAATTTGGTGGAAAAGTGAGCTAAGCACAACCTTAATCTTAAAAGTGGGGGAGGAAGGGGGCAGTTAACACTGCTGCCCCCCACCTTGAAAAGTTTGGGGGCCATGGCTTCCCTGCCCCGCCCCCCCCCCCCCCCCTCCTGTTCCTGCACCCATGGTAATGCAGCCTCAAGTGAGAACAAGTGACGTTCCAAACGCCAAGGCGTTGCTACTGTAAAGCATCGCCTCGGTGGATGAATGGAAGGATGCCGTAATCATCATCACCAGGAGCATCGGCGACACGGAGCGTGGCTCCGCTGGACCTCGCAGTCTGACCCACTGAACTGGGAGGGGTCAACTGGATCCTGCAGTTTGACCCATCGAACAGGGAGGGGTCAGCTGAACCTCGCAGTCTGACCCACCGGACAGGGAGGGGTCAGCTAGATCCAGCGGTCTGACCCAGTGGACAGGGATGGATCAACTGGGCCCCGCTATCTGACCCACCGAACAGGGAGGGGTCAAATAAACCCGCGGTCTGACCCACCAGACAGAGAGAGCTCAGCTGAACTCCGCGATCTGACCCACCGGACAGGGAGGGGTCAGCTGGACCCCGCGGTCTGATCGGGGGAGCTGACCCCTCTCTAAGAGATCAGCCCTTCATCTGGGCTGACCTCTCATCTTACCAGAGCTGGCCAGAGCCCGTTGTCCGGCGCAGCTAGGAGCACCATCCGTACGGGGGAATTAATACATTGGTCTATCCAGCCAGAGTTGCGCACTGTGACGGATGTGGCGGATGGACAATGGACGGAGGCAACAGGGG